TTTTGTTATTCATGCTGCGCAACAAAGTTACTGTGGATTTCATGACCTCCAGAAAACAAGATACAAGATATTGATCAACTCAGTCAATCGCTCAATCAATCAATCAATCAATCCAGTCCTTAACATAAATGAGTTTGAAACCCCAGGATCTAAAACAGTGTTTTGTTTTGTTTTTTTGTAAGCCGAACACCTTTGATCTAAAATATTTATTTGAATTATCCCCGAGAGATTTTAAATTAATATTTCAATATTTTAACATCACATCATGGTTCTCTGATGTTGGTTAATGATCACATGTCATTCAGGTCAACAAATATTTTTTTTTTTACTTTTTTAAAGTAAGTTTTTTTTATTTTAAAATTGTACAATTTAATTAATTCATAGATTGTCATCAATACACAAACCCTAGTTTGAGACATCCTAGAAGATCTAGAAGAATGGCGAACAATTCAATCAAGTAAAAATTATGCTCAATTAGCCAGTTAAAGAGCTTATTTGATGTTTTCAGCTATTTTAATTCATTTTTAATATAACTAAATCAAGTAAAGTATACTTACTATAGTAGGTAAGTAGGTATACTATACCATAACTGCCACCCTGCAACTTTTCATTGCCTATTAAAAATATATATATTTCTGTGGACCACCACTCAACACATCCAGTGCAAAAAATTGCTTCCAATCAGCCTTTCTGCAAAAACCTCTCATGAAAAATCTAAATCTCCCTCTAAAGATCACCCATCCTAATCAGTTCTCTCATGCACTACAAAGTGAATTCAGCCGTAACCGTGTGCCAGATACCTGTAGGAACTATTAAACTACAGCACAAGACTGTGGACAACTGTCTGTCTTCATCAGGGCAGAAACGCTTTAACCTCACACCACCAGCTTTCCACAGTCGAGGATGTGTTCACCTCTAAAGGTTGGTCCTCAGCATCCTCTGGCTCTGGCTTTCAGTGGGGGGGGGGGATCCTGCCGCGTCTGTACCAACCAGACCGTAAGACATCGCTCCCTCGCTCTGTCTCCATGGAAACGCCAGCCATCCTTGAAATAAACATGCCGCTGCCGCCGCCACCCCCCCTCCTCCTCCTCAGATGCGACTGCGTTTCAATTTGCCTTTGTTTCTGTCTCTCTTCCACCCATCTCTCTCTCTCCATCAGTCACTTTCATCCCACCTGTGTTTGTTCTCCATCAGACCATTTCTCTCTCTTTCCAACACATTGTTCACATTTCTGCATTCACTGAAATAACTAATGATGCTTATGCACCTTCTATTGTTCTAGCAGGTGCATTAAAGTATTTATCTATATATACACACAATAGCTACTTTCCTGGGATCAGGGACCAAACTTAAAACTTATCAAATGCAAGTAAAAATCAGGGTTATTATTTTTAACTAAAACTATTACAGAAATGTTAATTGAACTAAAGCTGAGTTGAAATAAAATATAAATATTACATGAAAAATTAAACTAAAATTACAAATTTTGCCTTGGCAAGTAACTGAAACAAGTTTAAGTTGAAGCACTAAAATTACTAACTGGAAATGAATACAAACTAAAACTAAACTAAACCTAAAGCTGAAATACAAATAAGTTAAACCTAAATAGTAATATTAATAAAAAAAAGAAATGACAGACAAAAGCACATAACAATATTACTAATAATGAAACTAAGTAAAATGAAAAGTGAAAATGTTAAATATTAATAAAAACTAATAGCTAATAGCATAATTAATAGTATATGAATAATACTACAAATACTGGCCTGGAAAAGTAAATATTTAGCTGGTTAAAAGAAAAAGGCTAGTGAAATTATTAATAATGCAATTATGATTTAAATCATGTGTGAACAAAAGTCT